GCAGGAACTCCTCTGGCGCCCCAAACAGCACCCTGAGTGAGTCTCAGGGCAGCGCCATCCTGATCTCATTCATCTACTCCGTGGTATGCCTGGTGGGGCTGTGCGGCAACTCCATGGTCATCTACGTGATCCTACGCTATGCCAAGATGAAGACGGCCACCAACATCTACATCCTCAACTTGGCCATCGCGGACGAGCTGCTGATGCTCAGCGTTCCCTTTCTGGTCACCTCCACCCTGCTGCACCACTGGCCCTTTGGCTCACTGCTCTGCCGCCTGGTGCTCAGCGTGGATGCCATCAACATGTTCACCAGCATCTACTGCCTGACCGTACTCAGTGTGGACCGCTACATTGCTGTGGTTCACCCCATCAAAGCAGCTAGGTACCGCCGGCCCACTGTAGCTAAGATGGTCAATCTGGGTGTCTGGGTGCTTTCCATCCTCATCATCCTACCCATCATCATCTTCTCCAACACAGCAGCCAACAGTGATGGAACAGTGGCTTGCAACATGCTCATGCCAGAGCCCACCCAGAGGTGGCTAGTGGTCTTTGTGGTCTACACCTTTCTGATGGGCTTCTTGCTGCCTGTGGTGGCCATCTGCCTCTGCTACATCCTCATCATTGCCAAGATGCGCATGGTGGCCCTGAAGGCTGGCTGGCAGCAACGCAAACGCTCGGAGCGCAAGATCACCCTCATGGTCATGATGGTGGTGATGGTCTTTGTCATCTGCTGGATGCCCTTCTACATCGTGCAGCTGGTCAATGTCTTCGTAGAGCAGGATGATGCCACCATCAGCCAGCTCTCGGTCATTTTGGGCTACGCCAACAGCTGTGCCAACCCCATCCTCTATGGCTTTCTCTCGGACAACTTCAAGCGGTCCTTCCAGCGGCTGCTCTGCCTCAGTTGGATGGACAATGCTGCAGAGGAACCCATCGACTACTATGCCACTGCCCTCAAGAGCAGGGCATACAGCGTGGAGGACTTCCCGCCAGACAACTTGGAGTCAGGGAGCATGTTCAGGAATGGTACTTGCACCTCCAGGTTTTTTTTTTCCTGCCCTCCTGCTCCCCTACCGCCCCCCAGCAGGAGGGTGAGCGAGGCCAGGGCTGTGGCCTGGGGAGGCCGGGAGGGAGGGGGTTTCGGTCCTGCCTACCAGCAGTGGTGTTTGGCACAAGAAGGAGCGAAGAAAACCCCACGTCCTTGGTCTGCTGTCCCATGGACACCCCGCCTGCCTCCCTTGGGCGCAGGGGCGTTCCCGCCTGCCTCTCTTGGGAGCAGGTGCGTTTGCTGATGCTTTGATACCCACTTAGCAAATTGCTGCACTCGTGGGTCAACTTAGGGTCTGGCAGCCAGGCTCTGCCACCCCTCTCTGTGTCTGACGAGTGGCTATAGAGTCCCACAGTGACTTTCCCCTCACCTTTTGTACAGGTTGCCCTCCCCCTCAGTTAGTGGGGCCCCCCAGGCAACCGAGTCGAGCCTGCCTCAGTCAAGCCCCAGCATTCAGGCTCAGACACCCCCCGACTGAAAGCGACCCTGCTCAGCATCTGTCAGTACGCACCTCCCCTTCAGAGAGTAGAAATGCTGGGAAAAGTCCCCCCCAACACACACCCTGCCCTCCCCCAGGAAGGCGCAAGTAGCCTCTCTCTGCCCCCCCCCAGGAATAAAAAAGAAAGTGGGGAGCAAAAAGACCTCGAGAAAAGAAGCAGCATAGTCATGGAGCTGTCTTTTTCTTTGCAGATAGCTTCCAGCTCACTGGGGCTCTGGCTCTCTGTGCTGCGCTCGGGGGAAGCAGGGCAGAAAAGGTCTTCGGAAAAAAATCTGATTATTGCTGTGCTTCAGAGCTGCGCAGCAGCTTGCTGATAACAGGAGATAAACAGTCCTGTGACTCAGAGGGAGTCGAGCACTGAGCCGGGAGTCAGGGGGAGCAGTGAGCTGGGAAATGTTTGAATGTGTCCATACATACAATAAAGCGTGCTAATAATAAAGTTTAAAGGGAGTGCTAGACTGTGAAGCTATTGTCTTGCGCCTGTTCCATCAGCTGTGAAACAGCAATGAAGGGAGCCGAGACAGTTTTGAATGACCTGGGTGGCCGCAAAGTCACTTTAGCCTACATGGAGAAAGAGGGATTCGTTTCAAAATCTCCATCAGGCTCTGAAATAAATACTTGACAAAAAAAAATAGCTGTTTGATAATAGCTATTACCCTAGCTCCAGTTTCTTCTGTTGCACTCAAAAAAAAATGCGTTTCATATTTTGCCAATGTAATATACTGGCTCAGAGCTTCTTAATGTTTCATTTCTGAGAATTCTTGTTTTTAGTGTGTGCCAGACATCTTTTTGTTTGATTTTTCATTTGATTCTTGTCAGTGTTGTGAACGTGTTTCTCTGAAGCAATTTATATTGTGTACTTATGTCTGTGGTGGCTACTTGCAAGGTTGCATTTAAAATGGGTGATGCTCAAGAAGGCTCCTTTTCAGATAAAAAGGTTGTCACTTTTTCTAACTCTTTCATCTACATTGTCTCCCCCACAAAAATTCTCTCTCTTGAATTTTCTCTCTTCCCCTCCTATGACAGAACAATTTTTGTATAGATGAATGAAGCTTTCTTGTTTGATAAATGACAGCTGATTAAACAAAACCTTCTATCCCTGCTCCCTCTTATCCCAGACGTAGGAATTGGTACGGCCCATGTTGGAATAAGCAGCTATGGTTTTTGCTTTCTACCACCTATGTTAACAGTGTCACACAGTGGCAGGTGTCCCAGTAGCTGTGACAAATCACTTCTCTAGCACAATACTGTGGTTGTATTAATTATAACTACTGGCAATCTGAAGCAAGAGATGATTGGGAAAAATCTCTAGTAGCAACATACCCGTAGCATTGTACTGGTAGCTACGGTGCTTAAGTACAGTGTTAAGTGTAAGGTTGACAATTAAGGCATCTAGCATTTGTGGTGGTGGACTTACTACAAGTTTTTGTTAAATTATACCCTTTAACTTTTCTCAGCGGCAAGAAGCAGGATACTACTTTGTACATTTCTTTCACCAAAAATTAGGTACTGTTAAATGAATGTATAAATTTAGTATTTCAAAGTTATCTGATTCAAAGCCCATAAAAATGAGAGAAAAAATCCTAATTCACTTCAATGGACTGTGAGTCAGCTCCTTTTAGTTTAAAAATTGCTAATGTGGAATCTGTTACATCCTTATTAAAATATTTTGTGAAAAGCTTTAACAATTGTACAGTTTCCTTTCTTTTACTTCCCAGTAGACCTCATTTAAAGAAAACATGCAAATATTAACTTTGGTAATGTTTTACATGCACATGGGGAAAAAAGGACGAAATCTCTGTATAAGCTTATTTAACTTTTCACAGAAACCAAACATCTGTCAAAACAGTAAAATGCCCCACGATACCAGGAGGTGCTATTTGTAGAGCTTCACTTAAAATCTCACTCACAATCGCTTCAAAATAGTATAAATCTCATAGTCTTATGTTGCCTTTTTCACCCAGGCATAGTGTTAAGTATGGTCAGATTAAATAGAGAGTCAGTCTACTTTCTACTGTTGGATTTGTTTAACATCAGCAAGTTAAGAAGCGGTGATTCGTACCCAATACACAGCTTTGATGAAAAGTTGAGCCTGGTTTTGTTTCTTTTTTCTTTTTACTTTTTTTTTTTTTTTTAACTTTGCCTTTAAACAAAGCTGTGATGGATGCCTGCACACCTACCAGCATATGCACTTTAATTTCGGTTCTCCCAGGCAGGGGGTGGTGGCACTTGGCAGAGCAGCCGGGTGCTGCCGCGGAGGCTGCCGGTGCCTCAGTAGATGGCAGGCTTTCCTTCCGATGGATGCGCAATTCCCTCCCAGCCAGCAGTGCCCGTATGATTGCTAAAACAAAAAGGGCTAAAACACCCTCTGTAGTTTCAGCTGGAAACAAAATCTGTTTATCCTAAACTAACAGTTCTTCCTGCTATTTTTTTCACCCTGAGATGAGTTTGACTTTGGCAGTGGGCGAGGTGATCAACAGGTGTAAATCACTCTTAATTTGCTTTGGAAGAAAAAGTTAGTTCATTCTGTGTTATTACTCTAAATAGTAGAACATAACTACCGGGAAAAAAAATTTGTCCTTGTGAAATAATGTGTACCAGAAAACAAACAGAACTCTTTTTAGTGCTTTCCAAATCGCAAACAAGAGTCTTCAGATTTCATATGGAAACTCTATGAACTAATGCTTAATGCACTGAAAAAAAGAGTACAGTGACATATTTCTTGGTGACATTTTGCCTCTTTATCCAGCTATAACATAAGTCATTTACAAATGGGTAAACTGTAATTTATAGCCCGTAGTATGTTGCTGCATTTTACCCATGAGTTTAATATTTTAAAAATACTGCATACACTTTGTCATGGAAATTGGCCCTGTGCCACGGAAATCCATGCAACTTCTGTTGTTCTTTGTTTAGCCTAAGACCTACACCCAAAAGTGTGATAGCTTTGAATAGTATCTAGTCAATGGACTGGACTATTTCCCATGGTACACACAAAGAGAGAATGGTCTTCACATGGCACATACTTCAGCTACCTCTGCAGCATTTTCCCACTCAAAGGAGGGTACGCAGGAAATTACTCTCCTTTCTCTCTAGGATTCCCAGCACAGTAGCAAAGACGACACATCTCATAATCCTGGGGCTGACTGCTATGTGCAGTTAGTGGGCTTGAACCAGACTGGTCGCAGAGGCACTTTATATCTGGGCTGTGGATGAAAAAGGTGATGGCCACATGTAGATCCTCTGCCTCTTGAGATGGTCCCTACAGCAGAGGACATCACACAGTGTATGGTTTCTTTGCATTCCACACTTAAAGAACCCATCTGATTTCTTCACAGAGAAGGAGAATCAGATTTCTGAATGTGACGTAAGCATTTCTGAAATGCCAGGTTTCCAGTGAATCAGAATAAAATAAAAGGCTTTCTGGCTGTTTTTGAAAAACTGAAAGTCTGCATTTTGAATGTATGTGGCACACTCTATTCACTGTGACCATATACTGTATTTTAACCAGTTTCCAAAAATCAGCATCCTAATTTTAAGTATTAAACTAAATCTTACTGAAATAAAATGACCCATGATGAATAAGTTATGTAAGATTTGGCTTTTCTCTGCCATGTGTCCAGAACAGCAGTGTAAACTAATGTCTTAAAATCCTGCCAAAAAAATCCAAGAAAAATAATTTTTAAAAAAGCCAGAAGAAATTAGCCAAGAAACATCAATCCAATGTTCTAGACTCTATGATTTCAGCCCCTAGAAACCTTACCTGACTCCAGGGCTCTACAGACAAGAATGTGAATTATGAATCTCTAGAGGAGAATAAAATATTTCTACTGCATTGTATATTCAGCACTTCCATCCTCTCCAACACAGAGCCCTGCTGGACTGACAACTGCAGGCCAAGCCACAGGAAGAAAGGGTAATTTACTAATTAGATTTCTCTTTGAGAATAATGCTTTTAGATATTATGTTTTGTAGAGAGAACCAGCCAAGAAGAACAGGTGAACCAAAGAGTATTTCAAAGTATGTCACTAGACGTTTTGACAAGAAAGGTGCTTTTCAATAAAAGCTAACTATGCCCACCCGCTTCCAACCTTGTTTCCCCAAAAGCCGAAAATCTGGGTCTGGCAGAGTAGTAAGCAGCCATGAAGCAGAGACAGCAAGGTGGTGTATCCTACCTGAGATACATAGGTATTAATTTCCAATCTGGATGGAATACATTTGTCATTATATGCTTATCATGTCTATGATGGGTAGAGACACCTTGAAAGCAATATAAATATACAGAAGACCTGTTCTACTCTCCCTTTTCCCAAAAATAAGCCTTTTCTATACAGGTTCTTACGCTGTGTAATATGACTTAGGGGTGCTTTGTGGGTTCTTTAGCTTCCTAACTAGAAAGGCTCAGATAGAAGTGCCCAAATGCATGGCATATGGGAGTTGTAGGACAGATAGAATTACCAGATTTATGACTTGGCACCTGCTGATCACTGTGATGATCACAGTAATTGGATTGTATTGGCTCTGCTTACGTTGTTGATGACAGTGCTGTTTTCAGTGTATGCGTGGGCCCTACCAATCATAAAAATCTGTAAGACAACCAGAGGGAAGCTGTGAGCTTCTGCAAGGGTGCTGTAACGTGCTGCACTTCATAATGCTGAACAATGCTGAGTAACGTTGGTGCCGGTGCCGGCTTTGATAAAAGCAAAGGGCCACAAGTTCAACTGATTCATGCAGGATTTGCAGGTACTTAAATTTACAACGGCAAGCTCAAATGATTGCTGGTCAGCCGGAACAATTCAAAACGCGGCAAAGAGGTACAAAGCAAGTACGTATGAGTGTCTACACACACGCACACACAACATGCATGCACATATATATGCTTCCTTCTTGTAAAATATATAAACATCCTATTTGATCCGTTATCCAACATACAAAGGGATGAATTAGAATATATATTGGTTATAAAGGAATTCATGATTAGTAAATTTCAGATTCCAGTTGCTGGACAGTTAGGTAGCACGATTTTACTATTTAGGCAATAGTAAGTCTTTGGTTTGCTTTTGTGCTGCTCTGATGTATAGAGGAAATTGGAGCATTAATTCTGCTAAGGAGGTTAGTCCGTGGCTGGAGAGGTTGGAGCTGGTAGGAGAAGGAGATCTTGGAGAAAAAAATGTGACTAGTGTTTGATTTAGAACTGGAGTGGCTATATTTGGAGATATCCCTTTGGTGTTCAGAAAGTTTGGAGCTTGCTAGCACTCACTGAGAGCTGCAATTGCCCAGCACTTCAGGAAATCACTCCCTGTGCCTACTACATGAACAAACCACACCCTTCCCCAGCTGGGATAAGATAAATACCTCCATCTGAGGTCTAAACCAGAAAACTAATGGAGGCTATGGTTACGGTCTTTTCATTATTTAATTGGGATAAACAGGTTATAATACATTGTAAATGTATACAAAAAGTGCATTATCTATCAGAGTACCAGCTAAAGGCTGGGGATCTTGTTGCTCTCCAGTTTCTGTTAAAAACAGACATAGATGGAACTTGCCCTCTTATCCAGTCAATGAGAGACAAGTCATGGATAAAAGAAAAATTTGAAAAGCACTGCTTTATTGAGCAGA